TTTCTTTTTTTGTTTTTTTTTTTTTGTTGGGGTTTTCTTGCTACAACGCTTTTTGTCCCCAAAAAATAAAAGTGTTGGTGGTTTTTGGGGGGTGGGAAAAATGTGGGGACGGTTTTTGTGGTTGGCTTTTTTGCCGTGGCCGGGGGCGGGGGGGGGGGGGGGGGGGGGTGACCCCGGGGAACCCCCGAATAATTGCAAAAAGACGATTAAGAAACCCCCCTACCCCAAAACAAGATCGTTTAAAAAAAAGCTACCAACGCCCCCCCCCAGGGGGGGGGGGAAGAAGTGTGCTCTGCCAAGTCAAAAGGTGCAATATTTCAAAAGAGTCCTATTTGTCATAATTAATTTTCTATTTGTCATAATTATACATATAAGAGTTAATTAAAAATAAGCAAAGAAAGCTATTCCACTTGTTTTCTACACATGATGCGGTTCACCTTACCTTTTAAGTCGTGCAATGGGAAAGGAGAGAATATTCTTGTTTCCTGGTAATGAAGAATTCCTTGTATATATTTTGAAATGCTTCATATCATATGAAGCATTTCAAAATATATACAAGGAATTATCCGCGGGATTTGTAATATCTATAAGTATTTATGATGATCATAAATACTTCTATAGATATTTACAAATCCCGCGGATCTTCCCCCGAGATCCTGCTACAAAAGTGCAAAAGCAATCCAATTCCCCCATCCCGGGCTTAAAATTATCGAACAAAGTTGACAAATCCCACGTCATGCCCCCGTATGTCCTCGGGGTCACCCCTCGGGATGGCCGCTGATAAGCGCATTATCATTTGCAAATTTTCTGATCTGCATTGACCTTACTTGCTACAGGTGTGCATAATTTCAACATAATCAATTTCAATACTTGGCAGGCTAGCTACAAACTAGACTTGGTAGCAACATACGGGACTGGAAAGTAATACTATGTGTTTACATGGTGGATTTAAAAGTAATCGGAAACAAAGTATTCCCTTTAGTTTTTGGATTCAAACTCCTATAAGACCTAACCAAACCGGATAGTTTTTATTTTGGATTCATACATCTGAGTCTAAACGACTAAACGATCTTGTACAATTACTTTCCCGATTCGTTAAAATCAGTGCTATTGTTAATGTAGCCTTTAAAAGCTGTTAACGAGGCAGCACTCCCGAAAGACGAAAAACAATATTTGACAAGTGTAACCCTTGTGCATGAATGGATGACGTAACAAAACCAAGTTTTGCCTGCCGAGGGTTAATGCTGGAGCGCTCAACTTGGGCATTGAGTGATGACGTGACTGAGGTTACAAGGGCCCGCGCGGTTTAGTTGATTGCTCTCAATAAGGAAATTAATACTTGCTTATCAAAGCGATTTTAACAGCTCTCTTCGGGATGTATTGGATGTGAGGTCCTTTCTTACTTTTACTGAGAAGAAATTGAGGGATCGGTCAATCATTGTTATATCACCTTGCAAAACTAATCAAACTTGTCTCATTAGAACAAGAAAGATTCCTTTGCATTCAAGGACATGGCCATTATTTCTTTCGCCGGTGGATAATGCCGTTGTTCTGTTCAAATTTTGCGAGCATACAGGAGGCTGAAACAACACTGATGAGCTGCGTACAAATACGGCTACAGAACAAATTTCGCTTTAGCTTTTCTTACTGAAATAAGCGTTTTTCTGACGTTAAAACTGTCTAAAGTTAACGCAATTTACTACATCGATCTTTGATCAGTCAATTAATCAATAACAAGGACACAGAGTCTTTAAGCAAGACAGCTGCAGGTCGACCCTCCCGGCCAATATGGGTAAGTTCTTGCATGATTGTGCCTTTATTTAAGACTTCTTTGGTAGATTTAGAATAATTTTATGTCGCTTCAGAAAACATTTCTTTCTGCTATTTCCGGGTGACGTGAGCCATAGCCTTGTATCAATGTTTCAGAGACTTCCCGTTCCAGAGAAAGGGCATCCGGAATTCAATATTTCTTGTGTAGTTAAGAGTTATAGAGCTTTTGCAAACCTTTTTCTGCTTGCCAATGTTTTGGTCATTTGTTCTGTTTATTAGTCAGAATTTGATTTCGTTGTACGCAAATTACGAGCGAGAAATAAATCTAGAAACGTTTCAGTTTATTTGCTAATTGTCCTTCACCAACGCCGGCTATTGAAGCTGATCCCATTTACTTTGAGCACTTTTCCTTAACGCTGGATTGTCTCGCGTTGTATGTTTCCGTCATACATGCGGCAAACCTTGGAATAGGATAACCAGACTGTAATCATACAAAAAATTTTAAAATAGAGTAGAAAGGTGTAATTAATTTAAATACCAGCTTATATATGTAAATAACAGACAAATCAATTAAAATTCTCACGCTAATTTCCGCAACAGGTCTCAGGCGTTTTCATATGTTCTCGCATGAGCCCTCAATTATATTGAACATTATTAGTTGCAAAGTAAACTGCCGGCCGTCAACTCGATCAGTTACAGTCTTCGCATATATGTACTATAAAGCTTCTTCCTTCTCATGTGCTACTGTTTCAAAATTTCCAAATTCGGATAATAATGCACAAAAAGCTAAAAACGGATTCACATTTTGTTCACTTTGAAGTTCACATGTGTTTTGACAATTTTTGTGGTAGTATCAATTATAGTCTAAAGTCATTGAAGAGAGCTTTGGTCGTCGGCATAAGTATTCTATTTTTGTCGATGAATAATAACATTGACGTCTATTAATGCATTTAGCAAGAGGTGTACAGACAAAGGGTTAAAGATTATTTAAAAAAAGATGGGAATTATTCAACTTTTTATTTTTTTTATGACAATAAATAAACTTAGCAGCCACCTCTCCCCATCTGCAATAGTTACAATATTTGTTACAGATCATCCCGTCCAAAGGGGCCTAGATCCGAGTCATCAGCTGACAGAGAGTGATATACACGAAAGTCATCTACCGGAACAGATTGGTCTTAAATGGAAAGACCTTGCTAGAGAACTAGGTTTCCTTCAAAGCACCATTGATATGATCGAAAAGGAAAAATTGTACTGTAATAAGGAATGTTGCATAGAGCTTCTTGTACGGTGGAGGCGTTTGAACGGAACAGAAGCTACTGTTGGAAAATTAAAAGAAGCTTTGGAAAAGATCGAGCTCAAGAATGTGGGTGAAAATCTGATAAGTGGTAAGCATGCAAGACGGATGAATGTTTCCGGTTTTTTTACTGTTTAAATGAGTATGTTGTGAATGTTGGCAAAAACACAATACTATTAATATTACATTGCATACATACATGACACATTAAACTTTATTTAAACTCGGATTTAGAATAGCTCGAGAGAGCTAGTGTCTCCGAGTATAATAATATTTAAGAAATGCAACAAAATTGATAAAGTATGAAAGTATAAAATTGCTACGCATGCATATACCAATATCTCGCAAACACATACATAATTTCTTTAAGCATTTGCAACTACTTCTATGATCTTTAATTTCCGCTATGACTTTAACCGAGAGTCTTACTGCTTTCAGACCGCTTTGTAACTGACGTTTGGAGGGCACCCTGCTTAATTAGATATCTAATATTTCCGCCGGAAATATTCCGCTGTGATTGTACTCAGATACCCAGTATTATGTCAGTTGAGATCTTTGAACAAGATTTAAAGATTTTTTAAACAAGGTTGTCTTGATGTCTTCTGTTAAGTGTCTTCGATTGCTTCCTTTAAGTCACATTTGTTGTTTTGGTTGTGCCGATTCGATTCAATATAATTCAGCAAACAGAATACCTACGAAGTGGCTGGGAGAGTAAATACCTTGGATTTTGATTATTAATAACCTTTATACTGCAAGGTATTTTATTTTTTTCAGTAATCTTGCTCAGTTCCGTTTGTATTTTATTGGTGATAGTCGAAAAAGTTGCACTCCTGTTGCCTATAAAACACTAACGTTCCTTTGGAAGCTTAAGCAAAACTGGCAACTCGTGGGCTTGATTTTGCCCTTAATTGTGAAAACAGGTAACGGTGAATAATTATGTTTTAGTTTGTAGTAGCAATTTAAGTGTTCTTGCATTTTGACTCAATGCCATTCCCATTCTGATCAGGACTCAGTTGCTGCCGATGTTACTGCATCAACCAAAGAGGAAGAGGCGTAGACCCTGAAGAATCAAACGCGTCATATCAGGTGAGTTTGTCAAGTCTTGCATTTTAAAGGTAGAAGCAAGTCGCCAGAAGATTATCAAAAGGACACTTTTGCGAGAAATTGTAGGTTCAA